TCTACCTGTAGCCAAATTTCTATGTTTTGGATTATTCATTAGCCTTAGTATAAACCAATGAAAATCTGCAAATCACTTGGTATTACTAATGTATCAGATTAAAACATAGACATAAAAATGTACCTAATGTGATAGAAATCATTATTATGTAAGGAAAAAAATTTTAATGTTCAGAGCTAAAAAACTCAACATGTACAAATATAATAATTACTATATAAAAATGTGTTATAAAAATAAAGGCATGTATCCAAAAAACCTGCAAAAATTTCAAACTTGTTTAAAATTCATTATTTATTTTATTATTTATTTAAAATAAAATTTTTTGGGGTACAGATAGTTTGTTAAAAGTTCAGATGAGATGATAATGACCATGATTGGTGCAATTCAAACTTTAGTCTAATATCTAAAAATGGCCAGCTTTCAAGTGATGAAATTTAGCCTTGATCCTGCTATCCAAGTCCTTTGTAGACCCAGCTTCCTAACCATTTTCATAAACTTTATGCTTCAGTTGGTACAAAAAAGTCTCTCAATTGGTTTCAGTTGTGGAATGTTTGGAACATTAGCTTCACAGATTATGTATCGAATTCCATAATGATTCAACTTGGCACCTGTCTTGTGAGCATAATGGGCAATGACCATAACACACATTCTTGGTCACAATAGTATTTCTTTAGAAAAGGTACTAGCCTCTTCGAATACACTTATTTGGTGACAGAGTTCTGATGGGACAGTGAAGGTTCATGAATGTCTAACTTCAACCTATTGTCAGCCAAACCAGAGTCTTTGGCAAAAACTTGTATTGAGTATTGTTTGAATCTGACTTCAGAATCCATATCTAACCTTTTTTTTTAGGGTGAAATAGTGATTGTTACCAATCTGTTCACTTTCATCAAAAGTGAAATAAAACTTGTTGAAAGAAGCCAAACAATCTTGCTGAAGTAAAACTCCAGCAAGATTGTTTGGCTCCTTTCAAAATCCATCATGCAGCTTCCACAGACAGTTTTTTGAGTAGTAAGTTGCTTTATCATGTATTTTGGAACAGACTTTCACTTCTTGAGTCATTCGACATTCCCTCAAAATCTGGCAGAATATGTCAGCGTAAAATTTTCAACTTTGTTACTAATTTTGTAAACATTTGTACAACTTTTCCAAAGCTGCTTCTTCCAACTGGGTCCTCTTCCATTCTATCATATTTTTGTTCTTTCAACCACTTCCCATTCTTCTTTCTGCATGTTTTCCTTGCTCTATCTTTGAAATGACGCTAAAGACTGTACATAAAGAAACTCCCATTGCAGAGATGTTTAACTATATAAGATTTCCCATTTTTGTAATTTTCAGTATCAAATTTGCCATTTGCATTTCTTCCATTGAATTCATTTAATCCTTTCCTTTTTAAAATGGAATGTTATTTAAGTAAACTTTTTCAGTAAATGAGAAAATATTTTAGAAAAAATATATGATGTCTCATAAAGATGTGAAATTATTCAAAATTACTAGAAAATGCTATTGAAATTTATGCAGATTTTTAGGATATGTCTATAATGTCTTTATAAGAAATATTAAAAAATTCTTTCTTATTTTTCTTGCATTCATGAAGCATGAAAGCATTAAAATCATTGAGCTTTTCATTTTGAATAAAGCATTATTTAAAGATTACTAAAAATCCAAAGATATCATACTAGATTCATTTAACAACTACATTTAATAACACTATTTTATATTAGTTATCTGTTGATAAATATTTATACATTTGAATACTGAAATTTTAGAAAATAAACACTTCTAAAACCAAAAAATCCAGAAACAAGAAAACTTTGATGTCTAACAAATGTTTACTTGTTTGCTGGATTTTTGTAAGTTTTTATTTTATATTTGCATCCAGTTTTTGAAAGATTGCTGTGTTTTTATATTGAAATTTTACATTTAGGTTTAAGTTTCCCATATGTTGCATGCATTCAGTTGATAGAATAAAAATTTTAAAAAATTCACGCATTTATCAAAAATTGTTTTATTAATAATTTATAAATGAAAGAATGAGCTAACAGATGTTTTTATTAATTATACATTTCAAGAATTTTAAATATATATTATAGAAAATTTAAAATAGGGAAAAAAACAGATGTCATAAAATGCAAATAAACTAATGGGCATAATAATAAAATTACAAAAAGTGTTTTTTACTTTTCTAAAAAATTATTTAATTATTCATTAAAAATTTGTTTGGAATTACCATTCACAATAGGTTCATCATATTAGAAAAACAAAAGACTGTTTAACCGTAGAAACTGTCTTATCATTTTAAATAAATTTTTAATGGTATGTTTAACCTACAACAGATTTAAAAATAAAAAAACCCAATTTTTCAATTAAGAAGAAAAAAAAAAAAAAAACCAGACATTTACCTAATTTAAAAATACAATTTCAGAATAATCAAATTCAATATCTGTTGGAAATAATGACATCTTTTTGATTCTTCTTTAAATTAACCAAAAGTAAAATTTGAAGTACACTAACATTTTAACTAAAGAACTAAGCCATTTGTAAGTTTCATTTTTAATTCAAATTTTATACTGATCTATTCTACACAAATACAATAAACCTAGAAATTTTGAAAGGTCATTTATCTAAATGTAAAATGTTTAGTGCTTCATCAAAATATTTAAAAAAAAACAAAAAAAATTCCTACATTTGAAACTTTAAAATTTTGCATCAGTAAATTTCTTACATTACCTTTCTAAACTAATAAAGATGGAATATTTCTATTTTAAATTTAAACGTTTTAAACTTTTCGATTTCAGTATCTTATGTTATATTGTTTGATTGTGCAATTGTAAAATTTGTATTTTAAATATTAATTTATTTAACTGAAGAAGACTATTAAATATAGTCAAAAACGTTTTTATTTTATTAAATACTTTGTTGCTGGAAACACTAAGGTGTTTGATTATTTTAATTTATTTTTTGTTAAAGAACAAAAAAAACCTTAAAAATACATATTTAAATCTATTAAAATAGTTACCTTGTTTAATTTTAATTTTATGATTTAATTTATATTTATTTAAGAATATACAGAATAAATGATTCCTTAAGATTAAATATTTTTACTCTTTAATCAGCTTAGTTTTAGGAAGATTCACCATTTTCAAAAAGCAATCCTCTAACTCCAGAGCAACTCAAGTGTTTTATAAAATCCAATTTTAACTCTTAAAATAATTTATTTTTTAAAAAATGTATAAATCCATTTAAAACTCAAACTTCTAACTTAATTCAAAATCAAATATTCCAAACATTTTTTTCAATTTTTGGAACTAGGCTCAAAAACAATTGAATAGTTGAATCTGAACAAACAAGGAAAAGTAACAAATGACCACCTAAGTTTTAAATATTTCCTTTTTAAGTTAATATGAAATTAAACCTACATGTAATAGTCAAAAATCCTCATCCTAAGCATTTTCAAGTATAAAAAGAAACCAAGTTATTGAATTTTCATGCTTCAGTACAAATATGTTTGTAAGAGTGGTGTAGTTGATAAGTTTCTGTTTATGAGACCTTATTCCATGACTGTTCTGGGTTCAATACTCAAGATTTTTATTTTTTATGATTTTTCCATCATCAAATTACTTATTTTTGCATTTTTATTAATTTACTTCTTAAATACGTATATTAGTAAATACATATTTCTATATCTGCAACAGGATTTATTAAGTTATAAACAATTATCCTTCATTTTCACAGGAATCTGAATTTGTCCAAAGACACAGCACTAGCTAACAACAATGACTTAGAAGTTGTAGAACAAACTGTTTATGATTAATTCATGCTCAAGGAGTAGGTTTATATCTGATTTATAACAGGCCTGCAGATATAGACCCACTGTAATAAACAATTGAATTGAATTGAATTGAATATATCTGATTTATATTTACAAATCAGTGTAAGTTTTTACACAGCTGTGACATCTACAACTCTTAACTAAATAGAATGTTTTCCATTCCCTTTAATTTATAGTTTCTGTTTATTTATGCTAATGGAAATTTCAAAAAAATATAATTCTTTATTCTTTGTTCTTTAAATATTACAATATCATATCATTAACACAATGAAGCCTCACCCCTTTAACAATTAAACAAAATTCATTAGTATAATAAAAGTATACAACAAGTCAAATGAAAAGACAAAATAGAGAATCAATACAATAAATATGCATTAATAAATTTTTCATTTAAAAAAAATTAAGGTTCAAAAATTAAAATCTTGATTTTTTGAAACAACAAGAGCAATTCTGAAGACAAGAGGATTGTTTCTTGAAAGTGCTTAATTTGTTGAATCCTTGGCTCCTGTAACCAAGGTTATTAAAAGAGAATAATATATAATTTTTAATAAAAAACCTATGATGCACTTCTTTATCATATGAACAGTGCTGTAAATATAAATAACTATAAAAGATAAAAATAGATTAGTTTGTTCTAAGGAAATTGCTTAAAATACAGCTACAATGTAAAACTTTGAAAATTAACATTTTTAATCATTTAGTGTTCAGCAATTTAGAAATTTTTTTAAAGAAGAAATTTAATTGCATTTTAATAACACTGATTTTACATTATTGTTGTCTGAGTAAACAATTTATTGAACTATCTTAAAACTGCTGATATATTTATATATGTATTCATTAAGAAAAATGTTTCTATTTAATTCAACTTCATCAAAATTTATTTTATAAACTAATTTAGTATTAATAAAATTAAATTAATGATTCTTTTAAAATAAATAAAGTTTTCCAATCATTAATGCTTTCACAATAAGTAGAACAAACAAAACAATAATTTGATAATGTTTACAAACTCAAATCATTTTATTAATAAAAAAAATTAGTAAAAAAAAGTTAATTTTACATGGCTAAACATTAATCTGTAAATTATGATATCATAGAAGAAATACAATAAAGTATAACAATAAAGTAAATAATGTATAAGATAAAAACTTTAATGTTTTAAACATACCTGAGAAGACTGAAAATGTGAAGGTGGTGTATTTTCTAAATTCAAATGATTTCCTGTCACAGGATCTAGGCTTTCATCTAGAAAAATAAAATATGTATTTAACAAAACAGGTACAATTATAAATTTATCATATCAATAAGGTATTTAAAAAACAAACACAAATTTTTAAAAATTTTTATAAAACAGAATATAATCATATCATCATTTAAAAAATATATTTATAAGAAGAATTAAATCTGCACTGTTTAAAACTACTATATCTGGTTAATCAATTCTTTCATCATTATACTAGCATACACAAAATATGTCAGTAGAACATTTTGATTTCAAAGTATAAGACTGACCTATTAATTTCTGATAGAGAACAATGTGAGAAAAAAAAATCAAAAACAGAAAAATGGGTCAGGTATTTAATGTTAAGGTGATGATCTAATATTTAAACTTTTACTTTTCTTTATAACCTTTCAGTTTTTTTTAGTTTTTTACCTGTTTAAAAAAATTTAAGTAAATATATACAATACACTTAACATTTTGTGTACTTTTAATTAAAATTCTTTTTAATGTATTTGAATTAAATAAAAATTATTATGAAAAACACAAACTGCACATAAGATAATTGCTATATATAATTAATTTCAGTTATTTCTCAATTGGAGAAATCTGTAATCACCATCTACTTATACATCTTGCATTTTTAAATTTATTTAAATTTACTTGTACATAAAATTAATTAGATATTTCACAAACATATTAAATTAAAAAATCTCTCTTGTAATTAAATAATCTTAAAAATGCTAAAAAGTTCAAGGAGTCAATGGTTTATTCAGAGTAAATGTTTTTTGAGACTGTATAAGTGGACTGCAAAAATGGATTTTAGACTTCAACCATGGTCTAAAACTTAATTAAAATAATTTAGAATTATATTTTGATTTGGAGTCTTGAGTGAGAAACATTGACCATTAACTGTGAAACAGCAATTATTAATTGCTTAGCAATTTAAAATGAAATTAAAGTAACCTAAAATTTTTTCTTGATAGACTTTTAAAAAATAATTTTAGATTAACTCTAAGAAATCAATATGAAAGGTATTCATGTTAATTTTTGTCAAAGTTAGACTAAGAGACCAATCAAACAGAGTACAGAGAAGAATAAGAAATCCTCTATTTACAGTCAAACTTGTCTATAACAAATTCCCATCAGACTAAGCAATTCTTCCATAGTAGATAGGATTTATAAATATATAGTAAAAACCTATTTTTTTAAATTTGCTATTTGATAAAATATATTATGTTTCTGATTTATGAATTATATTTAAATATATAAATATACAATATCTATATTTACTATGTTGACAGTAAGCAACCTAGATATTGTTTTTGACAGCAAACTTGCTTCAAGCATCACATTGAAAAAACAATAAAAAGTCTTTCCATTAAACGTGAAGATTTTGTGGAGATTTTCAAGGTAATCTTTTCAAAAGAACATTTTGAGATGACTCATTTTTATCAATTTTCAAACATAATAGATTATTATCTTCCAATTTGATTTACTGCTGTCCATCAATTCATCATATTGTAACCAAAGTGCATGAAGTTTATCTTTTATTTAATAAACTAGCCAATTTACTCTATACAGACTTGCCAAAGGTAGCCTGTACTAGATTGGACCTATCTAGTTTCTTCAAATACATTAAATATTTTGACAGCATTCTTTTTTTTTTTTTTATAACTTCTGTAATGGAACTTTATTTCCAGAATGGAATTCATCTTTGCGCTCCTTCATGCAATATCTGGAATAAGTCATTCATACATATTCAAAGAAATTGTATTTGCACCAAATAATCATCTTTTTTCAAACTGCTGTTCATTCCTCATGTAAGCTTGAGGATGCTCTCCACTTCAAGTCTTTTTTTTTTTTTTGAAGTCCTTCATATTGTGTTATTGTATTCCAATTTTTCTACACTGATTACAAATTGAACATTTTTATTAAATAGATACATTATTGGATTTTAAAGATTTCTGAAGGTTTATTTACTAAACATTAAAAAAAAAACTAGTATGGGTAATCTTTGATTTTTGTGATATTTATCTTCAATACATACATGATACTCTTATATTTTTAATTCACTTTTTAAATGCCAATTTTGCACTTTCATACATAATTCAGTCAACAAACAAAACATTCAAGTTATTGTGTAGCAATGCTAGTTACTAGTTGATGTAAATAAGGTTTGGCAACATCAAAATCACTTTTAAAAAGTAATTTTTTTTATTATTTTCTGTTAAATCTATATTTTAATAACTTAACATGTTTACATTTCATTATATTTTCACTGTGAGAAAAAAATCTTATAACTTTCCAATTTTAATAAGAGATTTTATAGTTTTGTTTTCAGCTCTTTGTTTCAGAAACAAAAATCTCCTTTATAATATATAACTCTATTGTTCAACTCTCATATACATTTTAAGAAATGTATTTCATCCAAAAAACTAAGGTCAACTTGTACACATGTATACATATATTTATAATCATAATCATCATAAATTATTTTTAGAAAATTATTTAAAATAATTTTCTCTATTTTTTAAATTTTATTTCATTACTTTACTTATAATCAGATGTTAAATCTGATAGTTATTTCAGCTTTATCATTTGATCATTAAAATATTTCTTTTATCATCATCTCTGAAAAATTCATTTGAAAATAATGCAGGAAAAAATCAGAAGACTCAGACTGAAAATCTAATTCCAATGAAATTAATATCAGGTCAGATATTTAGGCAGTCAACCAGATATTTTTTTTATTTTCTATATNGACACGAGTCAGCGATGACGTTTTACCGAAGTATAGGAGTTCTTTCGCATGTTTGTACGAATACTCTCGCAATTTTTTCGCCGTGATATAGGAAACCGAACTATAAAAACCCGTGTTATAGGGGGTCTACTGTATATATCAATGATATTAAAACAAATGAAATATTAGTGAGTTCATTAATGACTCTAATGAACTAGTTCACGAATTATTTTAAAGATCTAGTATTGGCAAAACAATAAAACCATACTGCTTAACTTTACCCAGCAGCATTTGGGCCATCTGTTATCAAATTTTATATTTTTAATCATTATAACACATAAAAATCTTAATTTTCAGGGTCGAGACGAGTTTTATAAATAATTATAAATGCTAATAACTTTATTAAGTCCGACCCCACTCGAGATACGACGCTCGACCGCCTCTATCTCCCCACCCCTTTGACCTTTAACCAACAAAATTTGGTGGGATCGATTATCCTCTTACACAAACATGCCTGCAAAATTTCAGAAATTTTGGACAAAAAGGAACAGGAGTTATTAAGCTTCAAATCGGGTGAACAAAATCGTCCACTCTCACATACGTACGACGTTTCGAGGTTTCCGAGTCCGTAAATGTAAAAATCTAAGGGTCATTTTTTGATCGGACGCCACTCTTTCTATCAATTATATACAACAGCCGAGAAAGTAAAATATTCTGTAAAATAAATTAATTATTTGCATCGATAAATGAGATTTAATTACTTTTCGATACAGCGTGACGTACACGTGGAAAAGTCATAATATATCAATTTCAATTGACGTCATATTCAAATTTACGATAAGAAAATACGTCACACACGCTACTGCCGATGTAGACATAAATATTAAGATTTGTTGAATGAAACGTTTTAAACGTTTCACTGGAAATAAATACACGTCTCTAGGAAACGAACTATTATTTCATCTATTTATTTTCTTAAAAGATTNATGAAATAACTGTAGTTATTATGTAACAGACATCATATCAAGGTCATCATTATACTTAAAAACTTGACCAATATTTTTTTTATCAAGTACTCATACTTATAATATTTATGTAATTTGATTAATTTACAAATAATGAAACGATAATTGTCAATTATCGTTCTAAATTTCACTCTTTTAACAAACTGATTTCATTAGTACATAAAAAAATACTTAAAACATAATAAACATTTATCATCCAGATCTTGTTCCACAACCTATTTGGGTAACACACTTAAATTTCAAAATTTGAATGCCTCTTGGAAATGAAGATAATAAAATACAAGATAACCCAAAAATTACTTAACCAAGATATATTGTTTAAACTTTATTTTAGAAATGGTTAAACCAGTTTGGAATACATACATATTATTTTTCATAACCAATCATAAATAGTAACATGCAGCTGTTAACTCACTTTTGGGCCATCCTTTATATTTACACAAACAGCAGCGCTCTGTTAATAACAACCAATAAAATAAACAGATATCTGTTTATTTTATTGGTTGTAATTGGTTTCAAGTGTAATCTCCAAATATTCATTTAAAATTAAAATTTTTATAAAATGGAATATTTTTTAGAATAACATGTATCATCACATAGTACAGTACATGAAATAAAATAAATTTAAAGATATCTCCACTTAGTTACCCGGTGCTAATGATAACTCTTGAAAAATCTTTGTCTGGAAACAAAAAACATTTAATAAATTGTCCAACAAACACTTTTGACCTTACTCAAGGTCTGCATCAGTTTAAAGACAACAATCTTATGAGTAAAATGAATTGAAAACTTTGTCAATTAGTCAATTTACAACCCAGAAAGAAGCATTTGTTAATAGAGTCATAAAACAATTAACATTTATTGATTCTTGTGGTAGGGAGTGGCAGGGGGTCTATTAACAATTCTTCTTGCAGTAGTACAAAATTTCTACTAACTTCAGTTCAATGAGTCATTCTTCCCCATTTACAAACAAACCCAATGACAGTCAATAAATATTGAGATAATTTAAAGCAAGTTGAATTTTGATATGTTTATTTTTTGTTTTATTTTGAATCAAATTACATAAAAATAAACATTAAAAATGCAATGTTTTCAATACACAAGTAATTTATACACTAGAAAGAAAACAAAGTGCAGAATTTAATGGAAGAATTGTAGTTTTTTTATGCGATATATAAAATTTAATAATTTCATATTAAGACACTGGGTTTGACAGACCCACTGCAATTCAGGCAAGGGCAAGGAATCACATGACTTACAGAGTTAATTTAATTTTAATTTTGTTAACCTTATATTTTTCATAATTTATTTACTTAATTCATGCTATTTTAAATTTGTATTTAGACTGTTCTATTTTTGGAACAATTTTTTAAATTTAGTTAAAAACCTGAAGATGGGCTATGGTAATAGGGTGAAAACATTTCTTAAATAAAAAATTTTCTCTCAGTGATCATCATCAGATGATGTAATATGATTGTTTTCTAATTTAATTCTAAAATTTTAAGTTAATAAAACTAATTAGTAAAACTATTTCTATCATTTTTATTAACTTACTTGTTTGATTTATATTAATGGCAGCAGATGTGTAAGCTGACTTTTGTGGAACAATTCCTGTTGCTTGTGAATTTGGTTGCAATTGTGAAGTTTGATCATTGTTTTGTAGCTTTTCATCTGTAGAAGTTTGCTTACTTTCATATTCTTGAGTTGTTTGTTGTCTCTCTCTCAGCAAAGAAGCTATTTGTATACGAATCAATAATGCAACAAGACGCACATCGTCTTCCATAAGAATGCCGGTCATAGCCTTTGAAGAAATAAACATAAATTTTAATACAAAACATACTTATGAAATACATAAATTTTTATATATATAATTTTATAAATTTGAATAAAGTTATATAGAAATACTAAATAATTTGTTTGGAAGTCATAAAATTACAAATGTGTAGGAAATAAAGTAATGCAATTAGAGATTACTAAATGCTATATACACCCTTTGTCAGAAAAGTTCCAGAACAAAGCTCATAAAAAATAGAAAATTGCAATTATCAAGTAATGATCCTAGTTCCTGTCAAAGTAGTCCCCTCAGCTATCTATACACAATTGCCAATGTTTCTAGAGGTCTTAAAGGCAAGCAGAGAAAGCTTCAAGTGTGATACTTGTTAGTTCATTTGTCACAGTCCGTTGGACGTCTGCAATATCTTGACGAAACATCCCTTTCACTTGCTTGATGACATGTCCCTTTCAGTTGCAACCCTTTGTCAGTAAAGTGTGATTATTTCTTGTTTCCACAATTGAAAAAGCAACTGAAAGGAACATTTCTTCAAGATATTGCAGACATACAATGGACTGTGACAAATGAGCTAACAAGTAGTCCCCTCAGCTATCTATACACAATTGCCAATGTTTCTAGAGGTCTTACACTTGAATCACACTTGAAGCTTTCTCAGCTTGCTTCCAAGACCTCCAGAAACATTGGCAATTGTGTATAGATAGCTGAGGGACAACTTTGACAGGAGCTAGGATCATTACTTAGTAATTGCAATTTTCTATTTTTTATGAGATTTGTCCTGGAACTTTTCTGACAAAGGGTGCAATATGTTGTAAGATTTTAAGTTTTAGAATGATGCATGTTCATTTTAGTATTCAGTCACATAGGGTCCAAATGCATGGAAATGCAAAATGGCAATCACACCACAGCAGAAGGCCCAGTGCATAGTATGGTATGCAAAATTGGCATATTACTTTAATTTGGACTATCCAGTTTTTCAATCTGCTCAAATAAAGTTTAATCATTTTGAAAAGTTTTAGATAAATTTATTTTTTACATCTAATTAGCAGAAAAAAATTATTTCTACTGATGTAGTAGGAAAAGAGATCCGAAAAAAATGTTGAAGCACAACTGTATCTCTTTCTCAGTGATCACAATCAGTTTTAGTAAACAAAATATTTTGATTTGATAATGTTGACAATTTTATCATTATTCATAAATTAAAACGCCTATATAATAGAATCAAAAATAAATCCAACTTTTAACATAACTTTTATTATATTAATAGTATAAGTGTATATAGAAGACCAACTTCAAAATAAGTATCTTCTGCAGCTTCACACTTCTGCTAGCATGTATATCATCTGCCAAAGTTCAGGGTGTGTAAAAAGTAACTGGTATTGAGAAATCACTATATCATCTATATTTTTAATACAAAAATAATGAAAATTATTTGACATGTACTGTATGGTACTTGTCAAATAATGGAAATATGGAGTATACTTTAAAATTCAGCATAGGTACCAGCACAATCCACCAATGACACATTTTCCTCAGGTCATGATATGAATGGATATATGATATGATATGATTAAAAAAGTTAGAAGGCCAAACTTTACGTCATAGCCTTTGAAAAGGAAGGATGAAGAGTTTTAGAAAAAGTGAGAAGAGGGAAGAAAGTAAAGAATGATAGGAAAGTGTGAAACGGGAACCATGGCACCATCGAGTTCCATTTATTGAGTGTACTTTAATTACAATGCACAGGGCGTAGCCCACAGAAAACAGTATAATCAAAATATATACAGAGAATAAGTCTGCACATGATACTGCTTTTAAGGAGACAGGGAGAAGTGAATAGATAGTCACTTCTCTTGTGTCTGCAACCAAAACCTGTAGTCAGTTTAGCTTCAAATGACAATTCTTGATTGTTTCCAGACAGATTGTGGCATTACATCCCTTTACTATATACCACCATTTTTATACAGCAATCACCAGCCATCTTTTTTGTTATTGCATGTACAGCCTCTTTTGGTCACTGCCAACATCACTGAAGCAAGAATTATAAAATTCCATTGACTGATGTACACAAACACATACAAATTTTATTATGAATGCATTATTATTACATTATTACAAAAATTATACCAATTTCTCAATGCCTAGTTACATTCCACCCACCCTGTATTATGGAAAGCCATTTTTTTGGGTGTCTTTAAGGGCTCTAGTTACTGTGATGTTCTTAGCTTTCATTTGACATTCCTAGTCAGTGAACATCTGATTGAGAAAGGCATAACCACTTTCCCAATCTCCTTAATTTTTTGATTTTATTCTCACAGGCTTTTATGTTTTAGGGAACAGTTCCTAAAACATAAGCAAAGTTGAAGGGGTACAGATTACAATAAGCAGCAGAGTAAAGTCTCAGCAATGAAAATCACTAAAAGACATGACAAAAAATGTCTTTGAAAACTGCTTTGACAAGTGGTACAGATGCTGATAGAGATGTATAGCTACAGAAAGAACTTACTTTATTGTGATGTAAGAATTTGTATGATGCATAATATAAAATTATACAAATTCTTACACCACTCTTTGTCATCTCTTATGATGTATAATTAAACTTGTGTCAAAAGTTCAGTTTATTTTTGATTTACTATGTATATTTATTATAATAAAACTGTACAAACTTTATTCACTTAATACTTTAGAAAAATTCTGTCTGAAACATAAATAATATAAACATGTTTTTTGCATGCAGAATCCAATCATATAGATTATTAAAATACTGTCACTTGCAGATAACTACCATGATAAAATCAAATAAAAATCTGTATAATATACAACTTATTTGTGTGAATTGATATAACTTTTATTGATAACAAATTTGAATTTCCTCAAATTTACTTTTACCAACTTAAAAGCATATTACGTTTCCAAAAAGCAAGTAGTACCACTATTTTGTGCTGATAAGATGTAGTGACATATACCCCATAGAAATTCACAGCAAAAATAAAACCTTCATATAACATACCCTATCAAATACTCATACCTCCAAAGACAGCCATCTAAGCATTAAAATATTCCTTTTTCTGTATTTCATTTCTATTAAAAAATCATTGTAAATATAAACAACCAAGCACAAATATTCTATAATAACCATATTAATTTCTGGATCATTCAGATAAAACTGTATGTCTTGGCACAACTGTTTTGGTGCAAGAAAAACTTTCTCCATTAAATCTTTATCATTTGACATTAATGTTAAAATATACTTCACTAGCACTGGAAAAACGTATTAATATTTTCCTCTTCAGCTTCAGCAAAACATGTAAAATGTATCAATAGCAATTCACAAATGTTTTCGTAATCAACATGATTCCAGCTTCAGGTTTACAAAGTCATTTTGAATTGGAATGCATCAAATAGAATGCACATGTAGAATTCAAAATTGAACAGGCCAATATAAGACATGCATTGAGCTATACTATGTCACCCAGATTATATTGATGTTTCATAACATATTTGCCATGCTTTGGATAGTCCTATCTCATCCATAGAGTTAATACAATTGGAGTTATGACTGATTAAATATTTCAATAGACTCTAAGAGTCTGATTTGATAATATATCAGACTCTTAGAGTTTATTAAAAAATCATATGGTTTATATAGGTGCACCCCAAAATACTTAATTTTTATAGAATGTTTGTTATTGCCTTTGTCTTTTGATATTCTAAATCAGTGTTTGAACTGGATCTTTAGAACAATGGAACTGGATGAAAAATGGAGTAAGAAATGTTTACATTATGTTCTGAATAATAACAATTTTATGTGGTTTAAAAATATTAGATATAATTGTGTTAATAATGGTATTAATTTTGGTAAATTATCTAATAATTTAAATTGATGCTATATATTCAAACTAAATTTCTTTAATAGTTAAATTTTGAATTTGAACAGGTGCAATGAGTTCTTATAATACTTAATTAATTAATGTAAATTAAGTATTTCATTTTTTGACAGATTCATTTATAACATCATTAATTAAGTTCATATTAGTTCTATCTCAATGCAAGTCAAGTTTAATTCTCTTAATTTTTTGTAGAATTAATGCATAGATATTTGCATTACATTGTAAAGATGATCAGTTTCTGGATGCACATCAAATGATAGCTAAGTGTTTTGTTTTTTCAAAACAGCGTGAAAGTAGTTTTGGTGTTTCAATTTTTTCTTTTGAAAAAGTTTTGATCTTTTTGATAATTGTTACAATTATAAATTATTTTTCTTTATTGAAAAAATTAAATTATTTTTTAGGTAATTTTGTAGTAGACCTAATATTTTATTTTTTACTTATTATTAGGATACTTTGGCTTATACAGTAGAGTGTCATTTATCCGAATCAATTGGGGACTGGGGTTGTTCGAATAACTTATTTTTTGGATAACCGATTATGTACGAAAAAATATATTAACTTATCCCATGTTGAAATTTTTCTCTGTTGCGTGTTGCTTCGTGTTGAATTTTTGTCAATGTTAAGCCTAACAAAAAATTTTTAAAAAATAATAATCATGGCTATTGTATCATTAAAAATTATTTCTTTATTTTGTACAAACAAAATAAACATATTGAAAAAAAAAATTATATTTTGGAAGTTAATCTAGTATCAAAAACGTACGATTCAGCATGACACAGCCCGAGTGGAATGCTTTCAGTTAACTGACGTTTCAGTTGTTTGGCTTTCGGATAAACGACGCTCTACTGTATAATGATTTGTTTTGTATTTGGGAGTTCTTGATTAGCTCACAGGTAATATTATTTCTTCACTTTATAGTATGATTATACTTCTTTGTATTTTTGGTTTTTCTTTTCTGTTTATGGATAGTTCTCATAATTTTGAATTTTTGAACATTTGATTGGTTAATTGATTTTTTAAAATTAATTTTGTTTGCTATGTAATATCATATAGAACTTGAAATAATCTTTTATGGTAAGAATATTGTTGTATTCCTTGCATCATGAATAAAACCAGTATGCTAAATAAATAAATTATTCGCAGTGAGTGAGTAAAAGACATTTTATGATTTTTAAAGATGCACTCAATAAGATCAAAGGAAAAGCTGTTTGATAAAGTGGTAACTGGAATTTAAAATTAACCAATAATATGCAGATTATTTACATATGATTACAGTAATATAATTTTATTATTAGTTTTTATTAAAACTAAAAAAATTATACCATGGCTCCTGCAACTTCTTCTGCATTATCATTTTCAATATCAAAATCAAATTGTATTGCTTCATTTTCTTTATATTTATCTTTTCTCTTTTTAGGATCGAGTACTCTGAGTCTCAGTTCCATTTTCATTGCTTTACTTGCAATGCTGTCTTCACGATTAACAAATTCCACTTTAATCCCAACTTCATCTTGAAAAAATTCAAGTTGAAGCAACTCTTTTACTCGAGGTCTGAAAATATTCATTACAACAAGAAATGTAATTCAATGTTAAGAAATTTTTTAATAAAAATTTTAAAACACAATAGAAAATAAACCTGTTTTCTTTTTCAAGTTGTATGCACAAACTGATTATGTCCTTCATTTCAGGAATTTCAACTTTATTAAAACTTAGAGGAGGAACACCCTAAAAAATAATTTTTAAATTATTAATATACTTATTTTAAATAATGATGTTCATCATAGTTAAATTTTAATGAAACAAAAACTACTTAATAATAAATCAAAATTCTCTGATAACATACTGAATGCTTTCTTTAACCAAATTATTAGAATTTATATTAGAACATGTTACAAAAATTCAATAGAACTTATACTTTTGATGACTATTCTTTAAAAAGTAGCCATTTAAATATCACATATATTCATGATTAAAGTCAACTGTTTCCATAAAAAAGCTGAAAAATGTAATTAAAGTTAGACGTTATGATATTATGGTTATAATATATCTTTAAGGATATAACATCTTATTATATGAAAGTAAAGCAAAAGCCTGGAAAAATATGCTAATGGTGCATGCATACTAAGGCTCATTGTTGGTATACCAGGTGTAAACTTATGTGGGCAAAAATAAAATATCTTTACTAAAGATCAAGTGTCAAAATAATTACTATATGTAATATAAAAAATTCTATTTATTAGTAAAGCCTGTACATGTACAATTCAACAATGCTAGAAAATTTTTGTAAAATGAAAAAAAGATACTTTATCAAACAAAACAAACATGTACAAAACCTTCCTGACAATTTGGAAACTTCAATCAAATAAGAACTATCTTAATTCTATTTCCAACCAACTGACAAGAAAGATAGGAATCAATTCATGACCAGTGTGCAAAGAAAAAAAAATGAAAATTCACCAGAAACGTTTTCAAACTCCCCAGAGTTCTTCAGGCATTAAATGGATGTCTGATGGAATGTAAAAGCTTTGGAATATAATCATTCAAACAATCATTTGAATCTGATGCACAAGAAATTTCAGAAGAGTCATGTTGCGCTTGCATTCAGATGCCTAGCAGAGACCAACATTTAAACATTGGTGTCAATCAGCACCTGCCTGGCCTCGACCTCGACAAAAGCAAATCCGCCTTATAATTAATGCATGTAGAGATGAAACTAGATTTAAATATGTGCATGGACTCCAACCATCTTAGGTGCTTAGAAGGGCAAAGTGAGGATGAGCCTTACCCAGTTGAAGTTGAAGTCCGTCTCAATGTCAGGATCTGCGCCATATGTAGCGAGAGCTGTGGTAGTTCTCACATGTTGTATAGAGATGCTCCTGTAACTGACTCCCAAGGAGCACTTAGTTGAGCCAATGTTCACATAGGTCCCCTGATACAGGGCTGCCCATAAGGATCCCTTTTCCCTGAGTAAAGACTACGCTGTTAAACTGAAAAAATGAATTATAGCAGATTAAGTGGGCCATCTCAAGAATGTGGTGGTGTAATGTGTCATCATCAACAATATAAAATAAGATGTCCCTGAGTGCACAAAAGGCTGGAGGAAGCTCAATAGAGTGTAGAAAGACTTAAAGTCAAACACAGTGATATATTGGGGAGTAGAGACATCTTTCAAATGGGTTATGAGCTCACGGGACTAGTGACGCTATAAGGTGGAGAGTGAGCAGGGTGTGTGGGGCCTTTTCCAGATTACATGTGGGTGCCCTTCCTTTGTCGACTACCAAACAAAGTTGTTGCCCTTATTTATGAATCTTTGCAAAGGCAAACAACCTAGGGACATCAGGAAAGTCAACAACAATGTTACCAAGAGCAAGGCAGTCAGCCAGTTTGGTACAGACAAAACACTTAACCCAAGACTGCAGCTTATTGACATACCTGTCTGTTATCCACCCTATCACATTGGGTCAGTTTAATGTAATCCAATAAGTGCCGTTCGTAAGTTCGTAAAATACAATGAATATTACAAATTTGACTGTGTGTCACCAAAACTCAGTTACTATCAGGTAACCAAAAAAGTTCTGTCGTTTTTTGTTGAAAGAAAACAAACGTAAAAATGTATAGGAAATAACACAATTTATTCATCAAAATAACCACCCTCACATTCAATAACCTGTTCCCAACGGGAAACAAGCTTATAAATTCCATTTTTATAAAAGTCAAGATTTTTAGAGTTGAAAAACTTCCCTAATTCCGTTTCTATAACCTCTCTATTTCTAAACTGTCAATTTCGCAGATGATTATCTAGGCTTAAAAATAGGTGATAGTCAGAAGGGCTAATGTCAGGGAAATAAGGAGGGTGCAAAAGAGGTTCCCATCCAAGGGTCTGAATTGTGTCAGAGGTCACACGTGCAACATGATGTCTATAGCATTATTGTGTAGAAAAAGAACGCCTTTATGGTTCACTAAAGCTGGTGGTTTTTTCAAAAGTGATTGGTGAACTCAATGCAGTTGGTCACTGTAGACATTAGCAGTAATAGTCTGGCCAGATGGTATAAGTTCATAGTGAACAATTCCATTTGCAGTCCACCATATGCACAATATTGGCAGGTGCCAATTGATGAAGTATCCATTTACTGAGCTTGTAAACTTTCCCAAGACAATGCAAATGTAAACGGACAGTTTCATCACTTACGGAGAACCTTTGTGCTAACATCTGACAAGTTTGAGCAGAATATTCTTCGATTGCAGCCTGTAATTGAACATCATTCTCATGGCGCATCTTTAAGCGACTCATTGCCGGAAGAAAATTTTGTAAACCATCTTTGGGTGGTGTGAGTGCTAACAGAACCTTNAAATAAAAATAACCAAACGCCATTGAGAATAAAAAGAATATATTAATATATTTAAAAAAATTTTATAAAATTAATTTACGTGTCATTTAAGAATTACTAAATCGTTTTATTTGTTAATACTACTTTAAAACATTTGAAAATTTAACTTTCATTTGACTCACTCCAATCTCACCGCAATTCATTTATTCAAGATTTTGTAATTATAATTAATTTTTACAAGATTGGGAAAATGTTTTTGATATAAGAAATAAAAAACATTTTTTATCGTCTAAAAAGTCGAGAAAAGATTTTAATTTTCTAATCATTGTTTATGGGAAACCTATCGAATCTATAGTGTATACACGAATGATGTACGAGTTACTTAATTAAGGTATTGATATTTACTATGCATTAACTATAGTTTTAGATATAATTTTTTTTCTAATAAACTCGGCATTATTTGCTTCAAATTTTTAAATTTTTATACTTAATTTTTAATAAATAAGAAAAGAATAAAATGTTTTATTGATCAATGCCGTATCGCAGTAAACAAAATTGGTTTTTTAGAAACATTTTCTAAATTGATCCAACTTTTATATTAAAATACAAGAAAAGGATATTACAACATATAAAAAATGGCGATGAAATACGAGAATTTGTAATAAATATTTTCAAAAAATTCTCATATGTCATCGTTATCTATTATATTATTTTCAGTACAGTAAATTTATATAATTTACAGCAAAGTGATACAAATTTTTGTATTTCTTCGTTGTTTTTTATTAAATATATCTACTAAAGTATATAAAGTAAAACTGTTTTAATGTTTAAAATAAAAATAATTATGGTAAACATATATAAACTTTATACATGTATGAATTAGTTCTTTATTCAATGGCGGATCCATTGCGAAACTGAAGCTTACGCTTCGAGGCTCCCAATCCAACTGTTTTTAACGAGTGAGTTTTTCAACAAAATCAATGGAATATTTTGAAGTGTTTTATATTAAAATAAGACTATTTTAGTGATAGAATCGTAGGCCAACGGCTTGAGGTATTTAATATTGATCTTAGGATATGCTCTAATATTCACTGCAAACAACCTCAAAATGTCGCTATAATTGGTCAAATATCAAAATTTTCTGTAGGGCTTTCAGAATTCCAACCTTCGGCTGTATGACCACCATAATATATTAATAGCTAGATCCTCGAATCTTTCGTTGGTGCGCGGCTTAATAATTCTACGGCTCAACCTTTAGGCTAGAACAGATAGAACCATAAAAAAGATGTCTGGATCTTCGATTCAGACATCTTTTTTATTCGTACATCTCAATTATTGTTTCTATGATAACCTTCTATATAAATTTTATAATTTTTCAATAGAACCATAAAATGGTTCTATTGAACAAGAGAGACGAGTGAGTACAGTCTGAATATTCGATTCAGACTGCACTCACTCGTCTCTCTTGTGCAATTTAACACGAGAAATCAGATTTTTACTTCTATTTTAACGATTCCCCCTTTGATGACCTATCTCTCTTATAGAGAATGGACCAATATTTTTCTCTATTCGTTGATGTAGAGGATGTCATTTTCGTTCCTATGTATTTTCTTTCACTTCGTTTCTGGTACGTTCTCGATTATATCTTCTTCAGTGTTTAGTGTTAAATATGGTCAAGATGAGCTTATAAGTTTGGTCCATAGTGACGTGGATAATATTTTTATGTGTATATTTATGATGATTTCATTAACCAATAATTAAGCTTCAGTTCACTCCACCCCACCATTCCGTTCTCCACCACTCGGGCCTCGAGATATTTGCAAGTGCAGCAAGATCCTTGTTGGATGGATGTTGCCCCATTGTTACTTACTTTGTTGGATGTTGCCCCATTGTTACTAGTTGAGAAGGGGACCCATAACAGTGTCAGCTTCAGAATATTACCTACACTGGAATATCATAAAGTTTAAACCGTTACATTATTATTTATGATATAATAATTANTATTATTGTAAATTTTTATAATAAGATTTTAAAAAACAAAGATGATCAATATTCCGATCACTCAATCTAGTTCTTATTTTAGTAATGAGAAGTCCTGCTACCAAGAATGCCCTTTTCGATTCAATTGATGCAGGTGGAATCGTCTTTAATGCATTCAAGAGAAGATGAATGTTGTGTTTTTCACCTATAGCCTGGAAGATTTCTAGTTTGTTTTCCAGATGCGTTACAGTACTTCTTTTGCCATCTAGTATTCTTGATTTGTCTACCTCAGCTGCTTTAATAACGACATCGAGCTTATAGCCCAATAGTACGGCAGTTCATTTGGCTTTAATAATCAAGTTTTATGAAGAAAAACTTCATACTTGCATACTTCGTACTCGTTTGTATACTGGACGAATTTGCACAACCTGGCATAATGCAGTTATTGAAGCTACTGGGCATGATTAAAAATTAAGATGGCATCGATGCAATTATTCGAGATATAACAGGTTCCAACAAGTAAAGAATTTTAAGGTCCTGCCACAAGTAGGCTACATATTGATTATTAACACTGTGTGACATGCCATAATGAGCAAAAATTTAAACTAATAAGCCGGCTTAAAATTAATAAATACAAATGTATTCTGACAGTTTATGGGTTAATTATACTTTCTATTTGCAAAATTTCCTCAACCTTAACACAAAATAAGAAAAAAGTAAATTTTTAAGAAATTTACAGGATTTCCCAAGATGAGAAGAATTTCCCAGGTTAAAAAAACAGCCGGGATCCCAGATTTCCTGGGATCTTGTTGGAGAAATCCTAATCATGTACATGTTTACCTTCTAATAAAAAAAAATTTTTATTTTCTACTCACAATAGAAATAAAAAAATTAGGGTTTTTTTAAGTATAATATCCTAATTTTAAAATGTCCAGGTCAGCAATTTTGAAAAGGTGGCAACACTGATTATTATTATTATTTATCTAAATAAACTGCAGGTGTCAGATGAGAACCTCACAGGCTACCAGATCGATTTTATAAAAAGTAAAGCAGAATTCCTCAAAATGTAGACCAAATTATTTTTAAAATGGCGCAAAAAGTAGTAGCCTAGAGCCCTATAAATATCTCAATCTGCTACTTTTAACCCCATCTTGTAATCCTGAAACCCAGCCGTATTTGATGAAATAAGAGAAAAAAGGTGTAGTCCATGGGTAAGGTAACACCTGAAAATGTGTTACTGTAAAAGCAAAGCCATGCTGACCAGATCAGAGTTGTTCTTGGTCTATTGTTCACTTACAGTATGGAAGCACTTCGATCTAAACAAACAAGTTAACATATGCACATTACAGTTTGGACAGAATTTTCACTTTGAATTACAAAGTAGCCATATTTCAAACTAACCAAATTCCTTAACATATAAATCTATCTCTGTATCTCTGGCCAAGACAAACAATATACAGTAGAGCATCAATTATCCAAATACCGATCAACCGAAATATCAGTTAACCAAAAGCATTCCAATCGACAAATTCAAATTTCTGGCACTGCAGCACTCTCCCCCTCCCTACCAACCTAAACTGTAGGCCTACTTTAATGTACTACTTTATGTAAGGTATGTATTTGTAAGATGTATGATACAAAATATATACAGTACAGTTTTGTGTTTAATATATTTTTTCATAAATGATTAGTTATCTGAAAAATCAGTTATTCAAACAACCCCAGTCCTGAATTATTTTGGATAATCGATGCTCTAATGTAGTTATGAACTAACAGGATTTTGAACTATCCAAATTCAAATTAATAAGGATTTCCTGTATAATAATTGTGTTCCTTTGCATTTGGTTTTTTTTTAAAACTTGGCAAAAAGATTGTTAAGAATTTGCATATGTAATAAAACATTTTTAACTTGTGTTCTATTTATTTAAAAAACTTTTTGTTCAATGTTCCATTATACAAAAAAATTTTTTTGTCTGATGAAGATGGTAATGCATCATTGAAATTACTTGCATACATATTTTATCTTTATTACAGACTTTTAATGCCAAAAAACAGTTGTTTTTTTGTATTATTATGTATTACCTAAAATTATCTTGTTTTGTTTTTTGATTGAAAACTGTTAAATTTTTATAAAAAATTGCATTGGAAAATTATTACACTGGAAAAAATAGATAATGAAGAAAACTACATTTTAGAATAAATTCTAAAAAGTTTAATCAAAATAAACATAGTTTTCCAACAATAAAAATAATGGATTTCTTTCAGATTGCCCTAGCTTAACATTTAAAAAAGGCATAAGTAATGTTAATTAATTAATTTTTAATATCAAATGTTATGTGATTTTGCTTTTAAATGATATATTTTAGAATATAATGTTTATATCTTAGAATTCTGTTTTCTAATTTGAAACTGACTGTTGTCTTAAACAGTCAAAAATGTTAGTTTTTTAAAATAAATCTGCTAGTTTAAAATTTATTTTTTTTCAATTGTGATTAAATCAATCTTTTTGTTTGCATTTTAATATAAAATTTTTGTATTAATAAAAGTAATTATCTTCCTATTTGCTAATTTTTGATACTTGATTCTCTTAATTAGTTTGGCTTCTTCCCATAATACCATGTTGGTTGTATCAATATTAACAAGACTAGTGCTAAATGAATGTAAACAACACAATATTATGGGACCAAGCCTAAGTAATTAAGGAAATCAAAGACAAAAACATAGTAAACTCAATGAAACTAGTGGAAATCTATAGAAAATTAATTATAATCAATATCATCCTATTAAAATAAATACTTTCTTAAAGTAAATTTTAAACCAGTTTCAATTTTATTTTATAATTATTATTAATGTAGGCATTTCAAACTTCAATATTTAAACACTACGATGATATACTGTATTTTCAAGGAATGACTGGCATGCTGCGTAAAACCAAGGGAGACCAGCATGCCAGAAAACCCAGAGTTAACTGAGACTAAAAAATAAAATTAATCAGATGTAACAAAATTAGTTGTTAATTAAATGTTAAAGAAAACATTCTTCCAATTACAATAAAATAAACACTCTATCCAGAACCTGTTACCAGTGTGTTTTGTGAATAATACAGTTTATCACTAACATTTTCAAACCGTTAAATAGTTCTTCCTCAGATGAAGTATAGGGTTCTGGATAGTGTGTTGATTTCCATACCCGGTGTTGATGTGTTGTTGATCTTCATGTTTTACAATAAAATAATAACATTATAATTTTACAGACTTAAAACTGCAAAGAGAGTTTTCATTTACAGTGCAATAAAACAATTAATGGTTTATTGACATCAACAGTAGTAGAAGTTAGTCAGTGTGGGCAGCATTATATCTACCCTGACCTTAAAAATAACTCCTTCTTCTCAAATTTCATAAAAAGTGGATATTAATCAGTGTATAAGTTGAGATAATTTGCCACTGAAATTTAATATGCTTATTTTTGCATTTTTTAATTGAATTACAATAAAATAAACAACACTTTTGTCATCCCACGAGTATTTTACATCATTAGAAAGAAAATATAATTGAAGTAATTAAACATATAATCATAGTTTTTGATAAAATGCTAACAGTTTCACAATTTTAGAATAAAAATTCATTCATTTTTACATGATATAACTCGTTCATTTTTTTAATGTGCCCTCTAGAGAGGGATCTATAACCTCCCTTAAATCAGCATGCCTGCATTCACCAGGATAAACCAACATGCTAGTTTTTACTATACGGAAATACAGTAGAACCTCGATTAACCGAACTAATTGGGGATGAAGGTAGTCCGGATAAGGAAAAATTCAGATAATCGAAACAAATACTTTAATTTGTCTTTTAATGATAATACAACACATTTTCTTTTCGATGACATATCAGTAATATTAAAAATAAATACTGTATTTAAATCGTGATCAAATTTTCAAGAAACAAACGTTCGTATTGAATTTGGAATACTACTGACCAGCGCTAACAGACTACTTATTGTTTAAAAGGCCCTCTGGTGGCACAAGAAGACGGATTTTATAAAATAAAAAGCAGTTGAAACTGTATTTTTATGAATAAAAATTTGACAAATTATTTATCATTTTATGATGAGTAAAATTTTTTCATCGCATTTGCAGCTTTTAAGTAATGCATAAACCTTTGAGGCGTGAGACTCTTTGGACTGCAAGGCATAGGTGGTGGCCCACGTTGCCCATATGCCACCCTTGGTCATAGAAATGATGTAATTTGAATATAAATTATTTATAAATACGTATGTCAAGTTATATTTTTATTATGACACAAAATATATTTAAGAGTTTACGACCACTGTGCCGGGTGAGACATTGTTCAAACAAAAAAAGTTATTCATTCCATCACATACATAAACAGTATCATAATTCGCCAAGTGCAAATTAGCAAATTCGTAAAATTTTTGTTTATTTTGAACAATCCGGATAATCGAAAATCCGGATAATTGAGGTTCTACTGTATCTGATTTCATAGTCTCTCTTGGATAGACCAGCATGCTGATCATTCCACAAAAATACGTTAATAAGCAAACATAAGTTTGGCCTATAAATTTTCATGTTAAATAGACAAAAAGAATCAAAATAATTGCTAAAAGTATCGAAAACATACAGATTTACATGCAAAATTTGTATGTAAACCTTGGGTTATAACCCTGATTTAAGATATAATTAAATGTAAATTTTATTATATCTTTAGATCACAAGGTTAAGAATACTTACACTAATAACTTTCTTGTATATTTGAGCTGGTCCACTACATTCAGAATAAGGATACTCTGATGTAGCCATTTCTAACATACACATTCCAAATGCATATACATCAACAGATTCATCATATCGTTCTTCATACATTTCTGGTGCCATAAATTCTGGTGTACCTGAAAAGATAATTTAAAGATAAATAAAATAAATGATTTAAAAAACAAGTTAAAAATTAAAATTTTAAAAACTTACCAATAACACTTTTAGCAAATGACCTATTTTTTAAAGTAGCTAAACCTAAATCACCAATCTTTACTGAGCCTGTTGTTCCCGTTATAAAAATATTGTCACATTTCAAGTCTCGATGAATTATAGGAGGACAGCGTGAATGTAAAAAGTTTAAGCCTTTTAAAATCTGCTTGCACCATGATTTTAATACCTTGAGATTAATTTTCTTAAAGCGACGAAGATATCTAAATTTAAAGAAAAATAAATTTATGAAATTTACATTTATTGATGTACCAAGAATATATGCAAGAAAAAACTTTTAATTATTAATATGTAACAGAATCCAAAAGTTCAGGGACTTGGTGTATAGTTACTTGCCTTGAATAGTTTAAACTATGCACTAATACACAACCACTTTCAAACTAATCGCCTTGAACAATGATATACTTTTTCCAGTGGCTGTACAGCTTCTGGAAGCATTTCTATAAGTCATCTTTTGCAATCATTTATAATGCCTCCTGCAATACTGCTTTTGCCTCATTTGATAACTCAAATTGATGTCAAAACAATGTCAGAACAATCTTATGATAAATGGACTCATGTAATTCTACATTTTACATCCAGATACATGAAAAGCACTAGAAAAAGTATATTGTTGCCTGACTAGATTAATTTAAAAAGTGGTTGTGCATCAGTGTTTAAACTATTCAAGGCAAGGAACTCATTTGAATCCTGCTATGTGTATCTAAATAAAAATGAAATTATTTAATTTAAGAAATCAGTTTTCTTAATGTTTGTGATCAGAATATAATCAAAGCAGAACTTTAATACAGTCAATCAAAAATTTAAATTGCTAGTTTATTCTCAAGATGCATTTTAAGTTAATTAAACAATGTAATTTAATANTATTAATGTAGAATTTTTAAAACATTTAATATCATTTTTTCTATATAAATATTTACATTATCGATTGATAAAACATACTTTTTTCCCGAGTGCCCGATTCATTTTGTTGTTACAATAAGGAAACGAGGATTAAAAAATAAAGAAAAAATTGACTTTTTTATACTTAGTTACTTACTCTTTTATTACTTCTTTAAACATACATTAATAAGAAAGAAAATCTAGCAATGAGTTGCGGGACTTTCCTGGCGTAACAGTTAAAATAACTCGTGGCGCCATCTGTCGGGAGATTATATTTTAAAAACACTTATATTATTAATTATTATAAAGTGACAAAAAAGCTTAATTTTGAGTTTTATAAATAATTATAAATGCTAATCACGAGTAAACTTCATTAAGTCCGGCACCACTCGAGATACGACACGCGACCGTCTCTATCTCTCCATCCCCTCGATCTTTAACCACTATAATTTAGTAAGATCTACACAAATTTCCTCGCAAAATTTCATAAATTTTGGACAAGAGGCACGGGAGTTATTAAGCTTTAAAGTGGGTGAACGACTCCCCAAACACATACGTTCGTACAAAAATATTTGGAGTTTTTCCGTATGTACTTTTAGACTTTTTAAGGTTCCCGAGTTCAAAAATGTAAAAATTTGGGAATCGTTTTTTGACCCATTGCCGTACTTTCCCTTTGTTCGTGTATACATAAAAGTGTATTTGTACAGTAGATGAGATTTAAATTTTATTAATTTTTTACGATTATACATAGCCCTTATATACATTTAAAAAAGTTATTCGATTAAAAAAAGCATTCCTTCAAATAAAAATTCTAAATAAAAACATGGTAGAGAATGGGTATTGTTGATTTCTTTATTTGAAATTGTGTAGTATAGAAAATAGAAGAAAAAAAATTATCGAGGATAGAAAATTTCAAGTGGGAAAAAAAAATTACTTGGAAGGTTTCAAAACTTATTTTCGATTCTCATCATGCGAAATGTTCGTTTGTGTCTCGATTGTATGATACAAATCGAATTTTCTTTCTCGACTGTAGAATCGAAAGAAAAAAGTTTACTCGAGAAAAAGTTGATACGTAACAGAGGAAAAGTATGGCGATGGGTGAAAAAGCCGCCCTTTCCCCAAAGAGTTTTACACTTTTGGATTTGGGGAACCTCGAAACGTAGAGAAATTTTTAAAAAATTCGGGATCTTTTCCTGTATTTATGGATATTGGTGCGTGTTTACCTCTGAAGTTTAATAACTCGTGCGCTTTTTGTCGAAAATTTCTGAAATTTGGCATTTGGGAATCGATGCTGTTAAATTTTAGTGATTAAAGGTCGAGGGGTGGGGAGAAAATGAAGTATCTCCAATAGGATCGGACTTAATAACGATTTTACTTTTTATTAGCATTTACGATTTTTTATAAAACCCCTATCTACTCTCAAAATTAGGCTTTTTGCCATTTTATAATGGTTAAAAATATTCAAAATGTTTTAAAATAAAATATGATAACAGATAATGCCATCAAATGTTGCCGGGAAAGTTAAGCAACTGGAAATTTTTGGATTTTTCATTCTTTTACACTCTTGCCATTGATAATGTTTGCTAGCCATTGGCGAGATGCGCTGAGCCATTAATAAATGCCATGTTAAATGTCTATTTTGGTAGCTTTTATAAACTTTATTGACTGTTTGTTTGAAAATTAATGAAGGTAATTAAAATAATTTTCGTATTATTTTTTATTGTTTTGAGAACAGTTACGGAATATCCCTTGACAGGTAGAAATTGTTCTTAGAGCATTGATCCTCGTTGATGAAATTCCTAAATTAACTTCAAACATTAATTTCGTTGTTGTTAACTTTAAAGAAGATTTTTAAAGAGGAAAACGAGGTATAATTTGTTAGTATCGTAGTTTGTAAGTAATAAAAGAGCCGCATCCTGAAGATGATCCTGCCTCCGGGGCCTGTCAAAGACCAGAGCCATTTAATATTTTGAGCAGTGCCTGGCAAACAGGAAATTCTCAAAATCCATTAATCGGTTTTTAAATATCAAATGGCAAACCGTTTAAATTCAAAGAATTGATATTTTATTCATATTAATAAAGTACTATAACCAATAAACATTGTCGAAATTGGGCATTCCGATTGCTCTGCGCAAAGTTTTTTGTCAGTTCTGTCTTAGGACTCCCTTCGTTCTGGGCACCCGTTGCGTACATTATTTACGGCACTTGCAGCAAATATTAGCCAAGATTCCACCAAAAAGAGGTCAATGTTTATCCCGTGTTGGTGAACTATGGAGTACAACTAGTTAACAAATATCATTTGAAAACTTTATCGTGTTAAGATTAATTCCCATGGTTTTCGTGTTAATTAATTTTCAAATTTAAACACGAATTACGGGATGTAAATTGCTACGAATTGTGATGTTACAAAAAAGAAAATATTTACTTAATACACAAGAAATGCAACGAAACGAGTAATTTGTACGAAATTTTTAGAGCCCGGCGAAGTGAACCCGATAGTCTCCTTTGATAAGATGTGTTTATATATTAATTATTAATTAATTAATATAAATATTTTATTTAATAAATTTATCGCATTTTTCTGTTGATATTTTCTATAATTTACCTTCTGGCATCAACTATTATCAAGAAATAGGCCTATTTTTTGATTACTTTACTAGCATCGGTAGAAACGTCGAACTCTAATGTATTGTTATCGATAAGATTTTTTTACGATGCGCTGCCTAACACCAATTCTTTATAGCTTAGTTGTACAGGAACATCAATAAAGTGTGTAGAAAATCCGTCGCTTCCAACAATGACAATAAGAATTCTACTTTTCCAATTTTCTAACACGAATTTATTCTCAATACTTGGAGTGTGGGGAAGGAATTTAAGATAAATCAAATCACTAATCTAAATATACCCATACCTTAACGTGAAATTATTGATATCGTCAGCAGAACATTTCAAACAAAATGCCAAAGTGTGCGTTATTTTTCTTTTAAATTTTGATTAGAAAACGCTTAAATTTAATTAAATTTTATTTCTAGCCAAGTTATGGATCTCTTACTTTGTTAATTGTGGATTTTTTAAACTAAAAATAAATTACTTTAACATTAACATTAACGTTAAATGTTTTAATGATTATTTCTCTCGATTTTTGTATCAAATTACGTGAAATAAACATTGTTTCTTGTAATTTGATATGGGCATTGATTACCTCTGGTAATTTCTTGCAATTAGAAGCAATCATTGATTATCTCTTGCAGTTGGAAACAATCATTGGTTCTCTCTTGAATTTTCTATAATTTGATACGAGCATCGATGGTTTCTTGCGGTTACGAAAACAATTGCGTAAGATTTGTTAAAAATGTATCGAGTTTTAAAAGAAATTAATTATAAACGTACTGTAACGAATAAATTATAATTAAATTGCATAGTCTAATCATTATTTAAGATGCAATTTTCTATACTATTCATCCAAATTTGTGATGAATAATCGATAAATGTGTTCTTTCACAATACCAGATGATAGGTTGTAACTGTCGAATCGTATTTTCTGCAAGCGACGATCTTAACGATATCGCGCATAAAATTAATTTTTAAATGAATAACGAAACGTTAAATTTAGATTTATAGAAAATATAAATCGCTTAATTCGTGTTTTCGTGCGATCCTTTTTCTCATCGAAATAGAAAAGTTCTACATTAAAAGCTAGAAAAATTGAATGAATTCGATTATAAATAAACGTTTTCATAAATTCTAAAACTTCTTCTTAAAAGTGAAAATGTAATTTAAAAGTTCGATACATTTTTAATGTAAAATATTTCAAATTCGGTCTGGAAATCGCTAATTTCATTTCTTTTAAAGTAACATACATTTGGCTCCTTAAACTTATAAATGTTTATGGAATTAAAATTACGTGTTTAAATTTAAAAATGTACACTTAATTAATATTTGAACGTTTAATTCAATGTTAATATGTTTATTATCTTACGCCCCGTTGAAATTTGTTAAATTACATCAGAGATTATGAATTGTAATAACCTAAATTAATGTTTATTTTGTAGAATTTAATGTTTAAATGTATAAAATTAAATGCTAAAGTGTGTATAATAACTACTAAAATTTGCATAAAATAAATTTAATTATAATTTTCCCGAAATGATAATGCTAAGAGTTAAGGGGATTGGTACTTTGGTACTTGTAATCCGCGAAGAGATGGATTACAAAAATCGATATTTACTAATGGAAACCGCGTGTTTTGACTTATTTTCTTAATGTAGTTTGTTTTGTAAGATGTAATTACTTTCGGCAAGTAAACAAAACATTTTATTTACTAAA